GGTGCAGTGTGAGAATATGTGTTTGGATTCTTTCACTACACTATGGAAGTCCACATATGATCTTGAGTAGATGTGTACAGAAACCAGAGATAATTTCTGAAAATTTCCTCTCAGAATTTTCACAGTTTTACCAACAAATGTAGTTGATCATGATCAGTGTGGGAATATATGCACATGATAAACTCCATGTGTTGATAAAGAGGTGAAAATTATGAGGAAGTTTTGAGGAATTATCGTTGGTTTTCGCACACTGCTACCCAAAATCTTGTGTGAATCTTGATAATGTAGTGAGGAAACTCACGAACTCAGTTGAAGAAACCAGAGATAATCGTTGAGCTCTGGGGGTAGGCACATCCCGAGGATGAGACCATTCTCATCGATGCAGCTAAAGTTGATCCAGTGAGAAACACTGAATGACCTGTTCAGTGCAATAGGAGACTGCTAGGTCATAACACGACTGGTTGAATCCGCCAATGAAAGTTGCCAAACAGCGAAGCGCCTGCGGAGTGAAAAAAGACGGCTAGTGCAGAAAGCACGAGAGTTTGAGGACCAGCTCAAATGGTTGGCATCAGTCGCTAAAGTGAAGCGGTTTCATACAGGAATAAGACATGGACATTTGTAGACTTGGTTGATACGAATCCCCGAAGAAAAACGGAATGAGTCGTTTCAAGATGTCCTGAGGAAGATAGTGAGTCGCCTGTACTCAACGGTTTTCAATTAGCATGCTCAGGAGGATATTGAAGCTCGGTCGGTGGGTTCACCTGAGGGAGTTGTTGAAGAAGAGAAGGTGAACCCTACAGTCACGAATTTAGAGGGTATCGTCGTGTAGACAGTTTAGTTGTGCTACGTGCTATTGTGGGGTTATTACGGATGAGTCATTTTCATTTATTTCCAGAAAAGACGATGTATTTTTTTTGATAATGTGTTGGGTGGTATCAGAGAAGGCCAAATTCCATAACAAATTTCATGCCGTATCTTAGACAATTTCAATAACGTTTTTTTCCACTACTTTTATTACACGACATTTGAGATGGAGTATTCAGTCGTTGTTTACTCATGCTTGGGTTCCTCTTGCTCGAGATCATCCTATATTTAAATCTTTGAATATTATAGATATTTGAATATTGATGCCTTTATATCTTCATGTGCTTATATACATAGTGTCTGATGGAACATTAGTAATCGTGGCGATACTCTCCTACTGCCAGGAAACAGAGGAGCTGAAAGCCGTATTAGAAGCTGAGAAGGATAATCTTTCACGACTCCAAATGGAGTCGGCTAGGAAAATTGAGAAACTCCAAGTGTGCCTGTTGCTAGTTTTCTTCCTAGCTATTGTACATGAGTCAGTAGGTAACGATAGCAGCACAGGAAGCGGAGTTGGCGAAACTAAGACATTCAACGCAGTTTCCTGCGAGAATCGCTGATCAAACTCGCAGCGAGGATGAAAACAATCTGTCGAGTAACGTATCCACCAGAAACCTAGCAAGCCTTCCCCAGAGTTTGATAACAGCGAAAAAAACTTTTCCTAATGTGATGAAATTCATATGAGATACTGGTTGAAGGATCTGTTCCTAGCCATGTAGAAAATTCCCCCGGGAACATTATAGGTTTCTGCGTGACTTTCTGCTACCAACAGCTGTGACAACTATCTAATCAGCGTGAGAGAATGCTCTATCACTAATTAGTTCTGTACAGACTCCAAGTTCCAAAGGCTCCTGAAGAGAAATCAGGATATGGAAAGAAAGCTAGACGCGGCAAGAGCACGAACATTGCCGGATGTACGTGTACTTCAAAATCGGTGAGAGAAGTCTGGCCAGTCTACTGAGCGCGACCGAGCTGACAGGTGTGATATTCTAGAGGCACAGGTCGAACGCCTCGAGGGAGAGCGTAGCGAGAATATAGTGCGAGCAACGGTGGCTGAAGAACAAGTTGCTCATCTCAGCGTAAATTACCCTGTTTTCGGCGGGCTATTTTTCGCAGCAAGCGAAACACATCCTGTTTACACATAAGGATGATCAGGAGTTTGATGCTTTTATTTGCTGTTTTTTCCAGGAGCAACTAGTTGCCCTGACTCAGCAGTATGAGCAAGCAGCACCTACAAGGTCAAAGCATGATCCAATCAGAGGCTAACTCACCATGATCATTCGTATATAGATGTGCCATTGGAACGCTATGAGTTTGATAGCCTTCCCTACCGACTCTGGCTCTAACATCTGGGTAAATTCATCTTTTTGACGAATTCTCCACTGTGCTCGACATGCCTGCTCTTAATTCTCTTTCATCCTCTCTGCTTTGAATTTTGTGTTTGTCATTGAATTCACCAACTGAATGGACAAAGTTCGTACAGGAATCTGGAGCTCTCGGCGACAATGGATTGGATGCGATCGCGTCCAGCGGGTATTTCTGTGAATGCAATTCGCAGTGCCTTGTACGTTCTCAGGAGCCCGTTCCGTAGGTCATGACTTTGTCGTCAAGACGCGACCGCTGTTAGCATGTCAAAGTTCCCTTTATCGGTATAATCGAACGCTTAAATGTTTGATGCTTATAGTGCTCATTATAGTAGTCTATTGATGCCCATTGTGAGTAAAAGCATCTTACCAATGTGGATTACAGATGTCCCCAGTTCCCATTCGAGATGTCACCAGCCATTGTGCTATAGCCTGTAGGGTGCTTCAATTCATCTTTACTAGCGAGGTGTGTCATCCCGTGAGTGAAGAAGCATCGCCAGCTCGTATGATATACCTGTTCCTGATCATTATCGTTGTTACAGTTAGGGTGATCACTGCTTCTAGGCTAGACTCAAGTTCCTTTGGCGCCACTGGTGGAGCTGGTCTGTCTACTTCTAGAAAGTCTGGTTAGAGGAGGAGTTGCTTATATAGTTGAAATTAGAGGTATTGGTTGCAGGGAGCTATGGCATAGCTGCCCCATTTGGTGTAATTCATTCTATTGAGGTAAATCTTTGAATGGCATAGCTGCCCCATTCGGTAGAGTTGATTGTTTTGCGGAATATCTTGGAACGGCATAGCTGTCCCATTTGGTGGAGTTTATTATATTGAGGCATATCTTGAGATGACATAGCTGCCCCATTTGGTAGAGTTAATTGCACTGAGGCATATCTAGGTATGGCATAGCTGCCCCATATCCTTGATATAATTGCTTATACTAATCGATCACTCCGTCCTTACCGTTAATCACCCCCTAGATTCCCCATCAGCATGTCGGATTGGTTTCAACTATAGTGAGGCGTTAAATTATCGCATTAACACATATGAGCTGTGAGTATTTATCTTCTGAACTCTATAGAGCTGTGTCGATTATGGCTCCAATAGCGATGGTATGGGTGTGGGGCTGTTGAAACTTGCAGGTCGATGATCAACCCCCCGACGATCGATTTTTGCACTAGTTTCTCTGTTTTCCACTATCCTATCGAGTAGCATCATCGCGTTGACCCAGACCCCATGAGTATTCACCTACTGAATTCTACTGTTGTGTTAATTATGGTATGGTATTGGCATGCACTAGGGAATAGATACAGGTCGTTACTGTTGTTTCTTTGTAGTTCATTACTCCGTAAGACGGCTGAATGAGTATTTCATCGCCTAGGCTCGCTTCAAGTGATCAACCTTTCGACGATCCCGACAATCCGGCATCGCTAACACCCCATCCTCATATAAGAAGGTCTGTTCGCTTCTCAGCCGACCCGGATGAATTAGCGCAACAACTGGGAGGTCTCTATTGTGGTGACACCGAACAGAATGGTGACACGGTGTCAACCCCGCCAACTCAGCCAGGCTCTCCTATAAAAGCTCCTCCACATTCGTGTCCCCAAAATGGTGCCTTTGATACCCAAATTAGCGACAGTGATGATGAGCAAGATGATGATAAAAACTGCTCTAATGTGATGTCATGGGCTCTCACTTTATTATTGCCATTCCGAATATTCAAGTACCCCGAGACAGCACCGTGGACTCTTGTAAACGGTCGCCGACACAAGTTGCACACTCGCAAGCAGGAGGGTGTTCAAGGGCTCTTTATTAACGTGTTGGTTGTGTTGACACTACTCTTTGGTGCTACACAAGTCCTGGTATTCGCTTGCTTTTCATTTGCTGGCGAATCTGAGTTCCCCCGTTATGGCGAAGGAAACGTGCAAAGCGATCAGTTGAGGGCTGTGCTGTTGGTGATTTCCATAATCACTATCGTCGCTCTCTATGTGGTTTGTTTCTTCTGTTACAAACCTAATTACCAGAGAATTCACGACCATGGTTTAATGCATCATGAAGAGCTTAATCCTACGGGTGTCTTTCATTTCTTGCGGAAATGCCTTGCCCTAGTGAGACGAGAAGAATTCGTTCCGAGATGGTTTACCACTTTTTTATCGGATCATATACTGCTCTTCATCGTTTGGGTGTGTTACGTCACCTATAATACCATGAGAATGTCCAACGGTCTATTTGGGTGGTATACGCATCTACTTTGTATCTATCAAAGTGTAATCAAAAGCGGCGTACTTGTGTATATGCTAGAGTGAGTCTATTGCGAGTTACTCTTACACTACAACAACATGAGAATCAGATACAGCCCAGTGGTAGTTCGACGACGTAGTCTCATCGCAACAGCGATATAGTACTCATCGTGGGTCTACAGTT